CCAGGGAGAACACTTACTTCTTAAAAAAAGGGAGGAAGGGGCAGAGGATAAAAGTTCCTAATTAAAGATGCACTTTACCTGACAGTCCCTGGAAGGCAAAGTGCAAAGTGTTTTAAAACTCACAGCGTAGGGGCGCCTGGGTGGCTCAGTCGGTTACCCAGCCAACTCTTGAATTCAGCTCAGGTCATGATCTCAGGGTCCTGGGATCAAGCCCTGTGCTGGGCTCTGCCCTCAGCGGGGAGTCTGCTTGGGATTCTCTGCCTCTCCCTCTCCCTTTCCCTCTGCCCCTTACCAGGCACATGCACGCTCATGTGCTCCCTCTCTCATTCTCTCTCTCTCTCTCTCAAATAAATAAATAACTCTTTAAAAAAATTCACAGTGTAAAATGACTATAAAAGCAATCAACATAAAAGTGAGGTTAACACTAACCAATCCACATAACGCATGCATAATGTTAAGAGCAAATATTGCTTAAAATAAGGTCACTTGGTAAGAAAATATAAATCTGTAAAACCGGCTGAACTTATCACTCAAGTTTAAAAATGCTTAATTATAATTTGTGAAGATTCTGGTTTCTGATAAATACTATTAGCGCAGGAAGTTAATAGGTATCTTTCATAAATTTCAGTTGACATACTTTACTTGCCAGTTATTTTACTAAATATTGGAAGGCAACATTAATATTGTTATCCTCTTTTAAAAGTTTGAAATGTACCTTGAGAACCTAAGTAACAAGGAAGTAGGGACAAGGGGAAAGAGACAGAAGGAAATTAACATTAATTGCAAACCTATTCTGTGTTAGGGCTCCACCCATAATACAACCTTGGGAAATGGGAATTGCTATTTCCATTTTATAGACGGAAAAAGGGAGCTTAACCATAAATAATGTGTTCCTGGTCACACAGATAATAAACAGTAGAATAGGCTATAACCTAAATCTGTCTGATTCTATTGCCTATAATACAAAAAAATCAGAAATATCTTAATTCATCTGGCATTTTGATCATCTTAAATTAAATAATACGCTTTATGAAGAGGTATATATTTTTATCACAGCACAAAACAAGAAAGACCAAAACAGCAACAACATAACAGATGGCTTGCCCTCCAGGACCTTACAATTAAAGAAAATATTCCCACGGGCACACACACACACAGGTTAAGGAATACAATGTAGTGATTAATCATTCCTTGAGTGAGGCCATCCATAAGTGATAGGGGAACTCAGAGAAGCCTCGGCTCCATGTGGTTTCAGCAGTTCAGAAAGGCTTTATGAAAGATGCAAGATCACAGCTGGATCCTGGAGATGGAAAATGTTGAACAGGTGTAATGAAAGGTCCTCCAGGACAGGGAAAAGCAGAGGTAAGGATGAACACGATGAATATGAGTAACAGTGAAGAGGCCAGCAGGACTGCTTTAAAAAGTAAAGGACTAAGTGGAAACAACCCAAGTGTCCATCAACTGATGAATGAATAAGCAAAATGTGATATACCCACACAATGCAATACTACTCAACAATAGAAAGCACTGGCACATCCTACAACATGGATGAACTTTGAAAACATTATGCTAAATGAAAGAAGTCAGTCACAAAAGGCCACATACTGTATAATTTCATTTACATGAAATGTCCAGAGAATAGACAAATCCATAGAGACAGGAAGTAGACTAGTGATTCGCAAAGGCTGGATGGGGTAGAATGAAGTAAGGAGTGACTGCTTATAGGTACAGGGTTTCTTTGGAGGATGATGAAAATGTTCTAACATTGATTGTGGCGATGGTTGCACAACTCTGTGAATACACTAAAATCCACTGAACTGCACACTTTAAATGGGTGAAGTGTATGGCAAATGAACTACAGCTCAATCAAGCCATTAAAAAAAAAGTTGAGGGCCTGGGGGAACATCACACTGCACAGCTAAAACGGAGTCCCTTATGCCAAGTTTGAGGGTCTGGAATTTATCTGGTAGGCAATTAGAAATATTTAAGTAAAGACTTACCTAATGAAAGCACAGTACACAAACTTAGGGCTCTTCTCTAACAAAATTATTCACATATTTTAAATACATTCCTAAAATACATGCCAAAATCACAAAGACAACAGAGAACAGGAAAAAGATGATGCGATAGGATTTTGATGAAGCCACAAGCTGTGACTATTAGGAAAGCTGTTTTGCTTCATCACTAAATGCCACAGATGGATGTATCAGCATCGTATTTATGCAAAACCACAAATTCATCTGTGTCATGTCTTTCAAATACCGTAATGTTCTAAGCTTAATTATGAAAACTGCATTAACAATTGATCTACCATATTTTAGAGTGAGAGAATGAACTGTGTAATTTGTTTTTCATTGGATGACAGTACTCTACAGATCATGTTTTATATATTAGATTCACTTTAAATGCTATCAGAACCTCCACTCCACTGATATAAAGCATGTGTGATGCAAACACATTTGTCTGAAGTCTAATTTAGCCTAAGATTCCAAAAGAGTTTTATTATACAAAATAAGAAAACTAAAGAGACAAATCTGACATTCAAAGGGGGAAAAAAATCTGGATATTAAATATCTAATACAAAGGAAAAGGCAAAGCACTCAAAATCAATCTGAAAATCAAAGAAAAAAAAAAACAGGGGGCACCTGGGTGGCTCAGTGGGTTAACATCTGACTCTTGGTTTCAGGATCCCAGGGTCCTGGGATTTAACACCACAGGCTCCATGCCCCAGGCTCGGCACAGAGTCTCTTGTCCCTCTCCCTCTGTTCCTCCCTGTCCCCTTCTCCCTCCCTCCCCACCCTGTGCTCTCTCAAAAAAATAAAATCTTAAAAAGAAAAAAAACAGATCTCAGCATGAGGTTCTATGGCATTGGGAAGTAAAATGAAAGAAAAAAAGGAACAGAGTACATTTAAAATAAAAGGCTCAATATAAGAGAGCAGAAGAGGCTGTAACAGAGGCAAAGTTTGGAACTCATCTATAAGACAATCCCATACCTTCCCCGGAATCCCAAGGAAGAGAAAACCTTTCAGGCAGCGTGCTGTTATCCCTTCAGAAGCTGGCCTAAAGGTGAAATCCCAGTTTCCCCCAGGAGGTGGTGAGATGGTAAGAATACAAAGAAGAACTCCACTAGAGAACCCATACACAACCAAACTAGTGTTCGCCTTCTGAGTCACCTTGCAAACCTCCTTCAAGGTAGATGAGCCACGAGAAACTAAGGAGCTATCAGATCTCTTTTAAAATTCTCGTCTAAGAAGGAGAGGACCCATCTGTCTCTGCAAGGCTTTGTAAATTCCAGAACTGGAAGAAACCTGTGTTCTGTGTCCGAAAAATACAGACAACTTAGATGACCCGGTTCACTAACAAACAATAAAAGCAAAATAGAAAACAAGTAAGCTGTCCTAAAAAAGAAGCCTTGTCACTGATATCTAGAATAAGGTATCTGCTGTCACAAGTAAGTAGAGCAAAACTCTCCATTTCCTAATTGTAAGCCAGAGTTTACGCAAAAGAAGAGACTTCAGTAGGAGTATCCAGGAGGAACTTTTTACAAATCATTAACTGCTGTATGTTAAAAGAAACTCACCCAAACTCTCATCAATTGTCTACCTACTCCAAACAAAAGAACTCGGGGAAAAGGCAGAAGTTTACAACTATTTTTCACGGTATTGGACATGTTAATTACTAAGGAATAAAGTACTTCAAATATAATAAGGTATCAGAAAAGATTAAACACTGAATTGTTCTCTGTGTAAACATCAAAAACACATTACTGTTAATCCATACGTAAATAAAAGTTTTCTTTTAAATTAATAGGGAGAAAAAATGACAGCATGCTACCAAAGATCACCAAAGGAGGGGAAATAACACCAACATAAGGTCTAATACCCAGAAACATTTTCAAGCGATAGAATTATTAGAATGGTCTAAATTATAAGCATGCTACAGTTCTGACTACACTAAGAACAGAAACCCAAGAGGCCATGAATAAGCTAAAAAATAACTAAGGGAATGAAAGTCATGGGGAGGGATTTTTTAATTTTTTACAGGATCCTCCACTGAATAACATGGAACTAGAAGCATGACCTATAAATTAGAAAGGAGAACAAGAAACTTGCCAGCGCTTGAAGCTGGCAAAGCTGACCTAAGCTAAGGAAAAAAGGATGATAAGTATCTCAGGAGGTAAATAACACTAGTTTTCAAAATCTGTTCTAAAAAACAAAAGGGAAAACTAATTTGCCAAAGGGAAAAACATGTGACTGTAAGTTAAAGAGAAATTTTAAAACAAATATACACAAAATACCTTGGGAAAATTTCTGCTTCGGAAGTATGTTCACAGATAAGTTCATTAATGTTCACTGCATTAGCTTTTAAGAAGTTAAATCTAAAGTTTTTTTAGTTGAGAGAAACTTTATAAATATTTGCAATAATCACTTGCATTAAGCAATTCTGCAGAGCTTGTGAGATTAAACTTAAATGAGAGTAGGCTCAATTAAATTTTAAAATCTTTCAGACAAAATGACAAGGCTTACATAGCAAAAGTAATATAAACAGGATATCCTGAGCAACAAATTGAGTACTCTATTTGTGTGGAGTTTTTTCTATAGAGTAAATAGCATGTAAGTTCATACTCTATTATTAACTTAAAATTAATCACAGGACATTCCTTAAGTCTCATCCAAACTTACTGGATCTATGGGAGAACAACCAAATGTGGAAAATAAAAAAAGAAGGAGATCCAATTCAAGTCTTTAAGCTGTTCTGTTCCTCCTCCTCCAAGAAATAGTCTTTAAGTTGGTTGGATTTCAGTTCTGGATTTCAGTTCTCAAACATGTAAGTCTATACCAAAATCTTAACTTACAACATAATTAAATGCTATGCATGCCAAAGTACTCCGTTCAAGCGGTTGGGTAAATCTGAACATAACCGGAACGACATTTCACAACGCGCTCATCCATGCTGTGCCACAGGGAACGAGCAACAAATTCACAGACTTCGAGCAATACCTGAGCAGATAAACAGCCCTTTCAATATCACTGAGGTCTTCATCAACTGTCAGTCTTTCTATTTCTTCTGGTGTCTGTCAAGTGTAAAATACAAATTATGCACACAAAGGTGGATTAGTCTTGCCCCCCAGTGACCCTCCGGGAACCCCACATAAGTAAGAGACTGATGAAAAAGTTTCGCAATTAAGCAGTTACCATTGGAGAGTAATCAAGAGTCTTGAGGACTCCAGGTGCCGACCTCAAACACAGAGGTCTCCGTCTCGAATTGTTGGGTTGGGGTGGTGGAGTTGTTTTGTTTTATTTTTTTCTTTTTTAAACTATTCTAGCTTGAAAATTACAGTGTGGCTTCCTAACATTGCCGAACTCGATTTTCTATGCATATATAAAATACATACGTACTTTTAAATCTCTAATACCCCAAAGCTGTTTCTCCAGCATTTTCCACCCCGGGAAATGCTACAAGGGGGATGGAGGCAAACTGCAGCCGAGAGAGAGAATGAAAAAGACGAAATGTGGAGTGGGGGAAGGGATGGGAATAAACTCTAGGGCTGGAAGGAAATCAGAGATTCGCGATATTGCGGCAGGTGGGAGTGAGAAGAGCTCAACCGAGCTTTTGAGAGGACGGCTGGGGGAGGGGGTGGTCCGTAAACTAGGTTTGCTGGCAGCGAGGGTTGGAGGCTGGGACGAAGATGACTCTGCGGGGTGGGGGAGCGAACTGAAGGTTGACTCCCTCAAGGCGGGGAGTGGGGATCAGGGTCCCAGCTGGAGTCTTGGAGGGGCTGGGAAGAAAGGACGTGTGGTGACTCAGAATGGGGGCGAAGGGTCGAGAGGGCTTTGAAGATCCGTAGCGGGACGACGGTAGCCTGGGCGATGGGTGGGAGGCGAAGGGAGGCCTGGCAGACTAGGGTGCGGAGGCACCCGAGCTTGCTCGGATAGAGGAAGGGGAAAGTGGGATCCGGCGTGTCTCCCGGAGGAGGGGCGGATCTGTGCTCACTGAGGAGTGGGACGGAGTCCGTTGGGGGGGCACTCAGGTGGGGACAAGGCGGCGGCGGCCTCGAGGGGCAGCTCCCGCAGATCGGAAGGAAGAGGGGCCACGGCGGTCCGGGAGGGGCGGCTCGGGGGACGACGCTGGACCGTCCGTTCCTGGGGGCGGGCTGGGCCGGGGGACTGAGGGAGCCCAGGGCGTCCGAGGGGTCAGTCCCTCGGGGATGGGGGTCCGAGCGGGGAGAACCGAAACTGTGTCGAAGCAGGGGCGCCGGCAAGGGCCGGTTTAGGGTGACACGGCGACCGGAGGAGGACTGAGGGTCCAGCCCGACTCCGAGAGGGTCCCGGGCCGCCTCGGGAAGAAGGGGACGGGACGGGGTCGGGGCCCGGGCCAGTCGCCAGGCTCTCCCTGCGGGCAGTTCCTCCTCCCCGGGGCGCACCTTGAGGCTCCGGCGGACCGGCCTCTCGATGATGGTGAGCTCCTGCAGGTCCTCCATGTAGCCGAACAGGCTGTTCTGACTGAAATCCATCGCGGCAGCGGCGGGCGGCGGCGGATGCATGGACCACCGGGCCCCCTCGCCGCCCGGGCCGGAGCGGCCCCGGGATGCCGGACGCTCGCAGCCCCGCGGCCGCCCACCGGCAGGACTTTCTCCCGCTCTCGGCCGCGGGAGCCGGGCGGGAGAGTGGCTGGCGGCGGG